TTTAAACTGAAGAACAATAATTTTCTATTTAATTTATTATATAGGTATGGACCTAGGAAAGCAAAGAACCTATGACTAAAAGATGTTTTTATTGAAATTGATTTAGCGATGTAATGGTTACGGCGAATAACTTCAATTGAAAAGTTGGTCAAAGTGTGTTGTTTCCGGACAGTGGCCATTACAAAAAGCTGCCTTACCTTAATAGTTGAATTCCTTCATATAATTTAACTGTGGGGTACAGACGAGGTTTGAAGAAGCACACCTTAAGAACTGCTCTTTGAGCTCGTTCAATTAGAATAAAATGAGTCTTAGCTGCGCCACCCCACGTAGAGATACAATAACTTAATATAGATTGGCAGAGAGCAAGGTATATCATTGTAACGACATCTTTATTCGCAGATTTCCGAAGTTGTATAAAGATATATATAAGCTTACGAACCTTGTTTGATAAATTACATATATGCTTTTTAAAGGTAAGGTTACGGTCGATGATTACACCAAGGTGGACAATAGAAGACACTTTTTGAATATACATTGGCGAATCAAATGAATTTATGTTAAAGCCAGCACTAATAGGTTTTACGATTATTTGATGGTTGATACTATTAGAGATAGACGAATTACGGATAGAGAAATCAATAACTTTGGTTTTATTAATGTTTAGGGTTAGAAAGTTGTTGTGTAACCAAGAGCTTACGGTATCAAACCCAATTTGGGCAAGTTGGTAAGTTTCTGACCAAGAATTGGAATGAAAAACAATAGCCGTATCGTAAGCGTATGAGAAAATAGCGGCATTTTGTAGGTTGAGATTACAGAGATCATTTATATAGACTAAAAAGAGACTGGGGCCTAGAATACTACCTTGTGGCACTCCGTAGGTGACCGGTAATTCAGAGCTCGTGTAAGTGTCGATTTTGACGCACTGGGTTCTATTTGTTAGATAGCTACGAAAAAGCGATAGTTGAGCTCCTCTTATACCTACAGATTCAAGTTTTAATAATAAAATAGGAATCGAGACCGTATCGAAGGCCTTAGCTAAATCCAAAAAAAGGGATGCACATTTTTGTCCCACGTCAAGGTTTTTGACTACATGATCTACTAAATTATGGACTGCATCAGCTGTTGAGAGATTCTTTCTGAAGCCAAATTGGTTAGTCGACAATAATTTACGGCTTTCCAAAAAAGTGACAAATCTGGAATTAATTATTTTTTCCAGTATTTTGGACAAAGCGGGTAGGATGGAAATGGGCCTGTAGTTTTCGAATCGCCCACGATCCCCAGTTTTAAAAATAGGAAGAACAACTGCTTTTTTAAAAAGTTCAGGGAAAATACCAGAAGTCAAGGATAAATTGCAGATATATGTTAGAGGAGGGACAATAATATTTTTATATTTTTTAATAAAAGCGTTAGAAATACCGTCCCAACCTACTGTATAGCTGTTATTAAGTGACATAATTAAACGTTCAACCTCTGCCATATCGGTTTCTAATAATACAAAGGAGTCAGAGTGAACACCTGGACGATTATATAATGGAGGATGTTTATTGATATTTTCAGCGAGATTTTTTCCGACAGTTGAAAAATATGAATTTAGATTATTAATCGAAGTTTGTTTGTCATCCGATAGATAGAGAAGATTACTGGTAGAGGACTGGTCGTTTGGTTTATTAATGACATCATTTATCAGTCTCCATAACTTTTTAGAATTCTTACCTGCCTTTGTGAACTGGACTTTTTCATAATCTCTTTTAGACTTGCGTAGCAAATTTTTACAAAAGTTACGATATCTTTTATACGAAATCAGTATGCATTTATTAAGAGGATCGTTTTTGCTTTTTTTTGTATAGATTATCTCTATGACGCATACAACTCAATAAACCTGGAGTGATCCAAGCTTTGTGACATTGCTTTCTGTTGGAAACATTGCAAATTTTAGTGCTTTGCGTCAAAGCTAAGCTAATGGGTTCTATAAAAAATTTAACAGCCATATCAGTATTGATAGAGGAGTAAACCGGATCAAAATTTAAATTGTTCATTGCTTGAGTAAGCTTATTTTCATCTATTTTAGTAAAAAGGGGGTGATTTCTGGGTAAAACTTTACGAAGACAAATTGAAATTAAAACTGCGAAGTGGTCTGTGACTGTTGTCTCTAAAAACTAGTACCTTGCTAGAACGGGTGGATTTTAAAATCGCATGATCAAGACAGGTCTGCCCATGAGTTGGAAAAACATGTGCCGGAAAAAGCCCATGGAAAGCAAGAAGATCTAGGTAATCTAATGTGGATGTCATTTGAAGGCTGTGCGCAATATCAATGTTAATATCACCTACTAAAATTATATTTGAAAAGGAATTATAATCATTAAGGGTAAGGTCCAAAGAGTGTAAGAATGTGGAAGGATCCAAAAATGCATAGGGCCGATAGACTGCTAGAATAGCAATATCAGTACCCAAAGTAATTATTAAACAATTACATTCATGAATGTTAGGCTCAACTACTTTTACCTTTGATAATGTTTTGTTAATATAGATTACGACACCATCATTTTGATTGTAAATATTTTTAGTGCTATAATGGTTGTAGCCTTCCAAATCTGGAATAATAGGATTACGAGAGAGCCAAAACTCCGATAAAACAATGATATCGCAAACTGTATTTATTCTGTTTAGTAAAGTTAATAGATCATAGAAGTTTGCTTTAATGCTGCGAATGTTTTGAGATTATAATGTAAGAGAGGTGTTTTTTTTTGTGAAGTCAGTATAGTTGTACATTGCTCAGGTTTACATAATACGGCATCACAAAGGGAGAGATCATCTATATCTCTTAAAAGATCATTCATGGCAGACAATTACAATAGTGTATAAATATTGTAGAAAATGATAATATGTACATATCCCCAAGAATTACAAACTTTCAAGTATATCTATATTTTTAATTAAAATACTACGCGATGATTCGTCCTTTCTTATATATATGCGTCCTTGTTTCACCCAGACAAACTTAATTCCCGCTTCTTTTGCCTTATGTCGAGCAGCAGCGTGGAGAGCTTTGTTAGCCGGTAAGAGATGTTCTGACACGTAGATTGGGGCTCTGGGTCCCTCAATGCCAAGCAGTGTGGTGTTTAATTTATCTTCTCGGTGATGGCGGTTGAAGCGAGTGACAGCAGAATAAAATTCGTCACGGCAGCGAGGACTTCGAAACTTAGTAATAAGCGCCCGTGGTCTCTTGCTATCTTTATTTATCTTAGCAACTCTTGTACAACTAATAATATCTGATTCTTCAAGCTTGTGGGATACAACAGCAGCTATTTCTTTCACGATGTTTATAGGGTTTTCAGACAAGTTTTCCGGTAAACCCTGAATTTCTATATTGTTCATGCGTAAATATTGTTCTAATTCGTTCAAGCGTTCAGTCAAAGTCGTGACCGAAGTATTCAAATCTGAACACTTTATATGGAGACTCTTATTTTCATTTGTAAGAGATGTAATGATTCCTTTTAACTCCTTGTTTTGTTGGTAAAGTTTTTTTATGTGTTCGTCTAATTGATGTCTCAGTATTTCTGGTAGCTAAATGAACAATAACTTTCGACGCTGTGCGATTTGAGCCTGCGTATTCCGTTTCCGCGCCCAGAGGCTTAAGAGCGCCAAGCATTTCTAAAATGCTATAAAAAAAAAGTAGAAGTCGAGATTTTTGCATCGTTAAGTCATCGGCCGCTTAGCTTAGGTTGTATTGTAAGATGTTGTTGAAGAAGATATTGAGACAGCGTCTGCGCACTCACTTCCATCAAGCTGTTTAAGCGGACGTTCACCGAACGGTAGAAGTTAGGACATTCGTACTCAGCAACTGTTGCCGGTTGCAGTACTTACTGTCCAACATTGCCCTTAGTTCGACTAATTGATTGAGTTTAAATAAAAAGTGATTTAGTTGAAATCTGAAAATCTATGCTCGGTATTTCTCTGCGTGATAGAGCTCGCAACGAAGACATCCGCAATAGAAGAAAAAATAACCGACATAGCTCAGAAGATTAGGCAGAAGTGGCGATGGGCCAGCCAGTGTAGGACAGCCCCTACTAGATGGAGTGAGCGACCTGTGAAAATGTGCGGGAAGTAGTTGGATGAAAGTCCAGGTAACTCGTGGCAGTCTGTGGGGGAGGCCTTTGTTAAGCAGTGGACTCGAAACAGGCTGAAGTGATGAATGATGATAAGCTAAAATCGAGTGCTGAAGGATTATTTTTAAATAATAAAAAAAAGTCTCGCTCATATAAAAAGATACATACTTTATGGTTAACGATCCAGAGAAGTTGCAGAAAAGTTTTGAGCAAGTACTTGCCAATTTTTCTTTTAATGTGTGAGAGAAATGCACAGTATGTGCATGAAACAAGATAAATTACTAGAAATCTATATTTTTTTATATAAAAAACAATGCAATGAATAAACAGAACATTTTTATTACCGCGGTTATTTCGAACCTAACTTCATAGGCGGTTCATCGATTCTTTTTAATCATGAAATTTCAATAGGTTCAATATTTGTTCAGTGGTGGATACACTGTTCAGAACTTTCAAAAACTCACGGTGGTAGAGCCACCCAGCAGCCTCGGCTGTTGCAAGAATGGGCAGGCACGTCCGGGTAAGTACCACGACCTCGCAGAAGTCCGGCGTAAAGTGGAAGTATAAAACTTTCACGTTTCGTCTGGTGAGTGAGGTGGCCGGAGCCCAATTTTCAAAAGGTTGTCAACGCATCTGCAACTCTCGGGTGTAGCAGATGTCCATGGGCGGCGGTATTCACTTAACATCAGGTGAACCGTCTGCTCGCTTGGCAACTTTTCACAGAGGTGTATAAAATGGATTGAGCCCAAGGAGATGGCTCATTCGCAATTAGAGTTTCGTAATTGAATTTAGTTTAAACCTTGACTATTATAAAGTTATTAACAGTTTCGATTAAAGAACAAGTATTTGAAACATCTTTTACTCTTCATAATACATCCTCTGGTGCATATCTCACAGGATTTCAATGGCGATGAAGATGAAAGCGTTGAATGAGCAGGCTACGGCCAAACTTGAAATTTTTAACCTGCAAAAACCATTGTCTTCCTGGCTGTATGGCAACGAACACTGTCGTATATCAGAGTAAAATCTGAGGCAATACTAGGTGAAAATAGAGGAACATAGGGCCGCACAACGATTTTTGACTTTGGCGTCTTGATTTTTGAATCGGCGTCTAAGTTTCTGTCTATGAAAATGTGCTCAGTTCTTTAATCCTTTATGATTCCCACCCACACCACCCAGTCGGTCACTGTCTCCAGGACGACGATCAAACCTTAATCTTTTCTTGTCCAAACCAAATCGGGACTCGTCACAAAATAGGAATTAATCTTATAACTAGCGGAACGGATAGACGTCATCCCGTACACTCGTCTTAAATTCGAAAATTTCAAACTTTTTTGAATAACTTTGTTAATCAAAAAATGTCATTAAAATCGGTCCAGCTGTTTCGGAGCTCAGTGACATACACACGTACAGAAGAATTATATTTAAGAGCACACTCTTGGTAATAGTAAATGTTCACAGGCGGCGGAAATTACTACACACTCGGTGAACCACCAACTTACCACATTCTTCCATATGTGCTGTTGCACGAATGGACAGGTCCGTCCGGGTTAGTACCACGACCTCACAAAAGACCGGCCGGAAGGTGGTGTTACACTTCTGCGTTTCGTCTGGTGAGTGAGGTAGCTGCGGCCAACTTTAATAAAAGGTGGCAACGCATCTGCAACTATAGGCGGCGGTTATTATCTAACATCCAGTGAAACGCCAGCTTGTTTGCCAATTTGTCACATAAAAAAATAAAAAGCTGTTATTTATAACATGGAACTCGACGAAATAAATTTTAAATCCATATAATTAACAGTAGCAAAAAGTAACCACTACGCTAGCTTTATTTCGACCTTATAAAAATCACGACAGACAGTATATTAATCGCAAGGCAATGTTTATTCGCATAGACATTTATCATTAAAAAACATAATTTTGATGGAGAGATGGACTAGTCCTTTAAGAATAACATGTTTAAAGATCTGATCATGACTGTAAAGCCTATTTATATGGCCAATTATATGGAATTATACTGCATTATATTTTTAACTTGGCAAGAAATAAAAACAACACTTTTTATTACACATTCAGACTGTTTTGAGTATAATGACATAAAAATTACACATTATGAATAGAAAGTTCACATCTTATACTACTACTTTTAATAAAAACATTAGGTTCAATTCTTACCATGTTATAATATGTCCAGATAATCTACTGTAATATAACATAAGTCTTCTAATTACAAAAAAAAACCTAAATAATAAAAAATACCCTATAACTACTGATAAACTTTCCACTTCATTTTCACACCACTGATATAAACATTTCATTTCATGTTCATAATTAAATTACATTTGAATGATGAATATTTATTATATTACTACTGTTATGAATACAACAATATTGCACTGAAAACAAAAACAGTGATACAAATAGAGTTATTATTAACTTCAAATTTTTATGATTAGGCATTTGTCTAAGACAATAACATAAAAATATTTCTCCATACGGAGATGCCAAATTTCTTGGTAACTATCATTTAATACACATGTAGAAACACAATCATAAAATATTTGTAATTAAATATGTAATATACTAAGTATATTATACAACTCAAAAATAAATAACAAAATCACAGATACTTTATAAAAAAATGCAATCTTTTTCATAATTGTTATTGGTGATTTTTTTTGTCATATATTGGAGGCAACATTAATTGGTGGAACATTAAATTGAAGGACCATATATCCGGCTTTTTGGTCCATGTTTTGAAAAAGGTATCTCTAACTCTATTCCAATTTTCATTATATCTTTTAGATTTCCTTTTCATTTCATTATACATCATTGACTCCAGCTCGCCATCAGCTAACTTTATTTGCAAACTCATGTTTTTCCGTAAAATCTCAATAAATCTTCTATATATATTATATTTTGATATGCACAAGGAACTGGTCTTCAAAAGTGCATGTTTCTTTATTACACCCAACTTTTTACCCTGTACAGCAACTTCAATAATACTGAAAAAATAATATCAATGTTAATCCCATATAGTTGAAGACAAAACACACAAAAGAATTATGAATATTCAAACAAACATTATTCAATTAGTCATGTAACCACTTTATCATGATGTGTGTCTTATCTCATTAATCCTAAACTCTTGTTTCATTGACTACTACTTTCTTAAATTTTCAAATATCCACAATGTTGAAATATTAAATTTAATAACATTTTGAAATTATTTGTTGTGAACTTACATCAACTTCCATTATTATTTTTAAAACTTTTAGTCAAACATTCATATAGCATAGAGAACAATTAAAACAACATATACTAGTTTTTCACCCGCAGCTCCACATGCATTTACTACATTTTATATCTTGCTTAAAAAGTAGCTACAGAAGCTTCGCGAGTCTGACTTGCACTTGGCCGATTTTTTTTTAACTTTATATAAACTTACAATCATCATTATTTTACAGACCATAATATATAGTTAACTATAGGTTCATCCAATTCAACTGTAGCTATTATGATGAGTATAGAAGAGTAAACACTTACCCACAATTCACAATAACAATACTAGCAGGCGTTGCTTTTGGTCTTCTATCACTTTTCATGAGGTGGAAAATTGCTGTACTCTGATAAATATTTGGAATATAAGGTGCAATAGGGGCTTCATTATCGGCTAAGTTTCTTTTTAAGAAAGCTCTTGTCAATGATTCTTTAGAAAAGGGAACTCCAGAGCCAAAAATGAAATGCTTGATGTAAATTGATTCTGTCAGCAGCATATCCAAAAGTGCTCCTTGTATACCTACATGGATCCACCTCGCTATTTTATCACTACATGAAACAGAAAGGGTCTTGTCACCTCTTCCTGGCTTTGTCCTCACTCTTCCAAGCAAGTGATAATTCGTTCCAGGCTCTTTGGGATCTTGTTCACTATGCGGAAGGCATTTTGCTCCTGTCCGATGAATATCTAGGTCTTCAATTTTTGGTTTTTTACTTTCAACACCGCTTTCATTGCCTTCAGCTTCCCGTTTTTGGGATTTAAGAACATTACCATGGTTCTCTTCATTACATTTAGTAAGAATTGACGCATCACCACAAGGCATCTGCGACGAGTAAAATACAAATTCCAAATTTTCTCGTAATTTATAACGATCGCCCTCTATCGTAAAAATTGATTCCAGACCTGGTTTCGTTGATATAGCCTTCTCAATTTGTTCATAAAGATATAACAAAAATCCCCTTCTAGCAAACACTTCAGCATGACTATCGTTGACTCTAACACCTTCCGGTGACATTTTAGAAGCTCCAATACATTTTGTTCCTGTACCTAATGCTACCACATCATACCTTTTTGTAATAGTATCAAATTGAATTATACATGAGAGCACAGTCCATTCGCCTTCAATCGCTTTTCCAATTTTGGGTAATGTATTGTACAATTGTATACAACTAAGAGCAATTTTGTCTACGAATTCATTAGTAAATTCAGTCATTTTGAATATTTAATGTGTAATTGTAATGTAATTCATTTAAATTTACCTTATACCGTCTTCAACATCCGCTAATACAAACTTGAAACTACGTTTTCAAATCAATCAATAAATAATACATTACATTGTTAATTTGTTATCGATTACAAGTAGTAGTGACTAGTGATGTAAATGATTTTAGAACTATTGATAAAATATCGATAAATCGAAATATCGATATTATTATTTCGAGATATCGGTAATTATTAATAAAATTTTTTGGATGATAAATCGATATTTCGATATTGAAATGTAAATATCGATAGTCAATATTTTTTAAAACCACTTAATTTTTTTTTTCGTAAATTATTTAATCAAAAAAATCATCGTAAATTAAATCTATTGTACTTCTTTTACACCGTATAATGCTTTTTCTTTATTCCTGTTTACTTATTAACTTATTGTCTTAAAACGAAATGTAATTTTGTATAGATATACCACTGTGGTATAAAAATTACTATAATCTATAATTATGTTAGGTATTGTTTGTTGTTGTTATTGTTTGTATTTACCTACACTCGTATTATTTACCTCTTACCTTTAGTTTGTGTTTAACACTGAGCGAAGTTTCAAAGAGAAGTTATGAAAAAATACTGTTTTATTTTAATGTATTTAATATCTAGTTACATATAAATAGTTTAGTGCCAAAATATGTCTTCTTCGACCAATTCGATGGATGCAGGTGGCTCAGGATCGTACTTCATGGCAGTCTATGGGAGAGGCCTATGTTCAGCAGTGGACTCAAACAGGCTGAAATGATGATGATGAATGATGACCAATTCTTCCATTGCATGTACAAACATATGGCAAACAGAAAGAAATAGCATTTATTATGAAATCAAATACCAATATTCTAATAATGGGAAATAAATGGTCGCCCCCGCTGCTCCTTCACGAGTTCACGACAGCGCGCTACCCCACACTGCACAACAGACAGTCTTTAAGCTGCAACTTGCACCTACTGTTTATTACTTTTTCCAAAATTTGAACAACTTTTTAGCGGGAAAGAAATTCAATTCCCGAGAGGCAGTACAAAATGCCTTTGATGAGTTTGTTGTCTGCCGTCCAGCTAATTTTTACAATAAGGGCATCAATAAACTTCCACTGCTTTGGCAAAGATGCATGATCACATTGTTGGCATGGGTATATGGCAAATAAAAAGTTTCAAATAATAAACTTTAACTTATTTCATACAAAATGGCGATTTCAGACATAATGTCAAGTAATAATGCTAAATCATAAAATGAATTTATTAATGCTTGCTCACTGTTAAGCATCACACAAGAGCCGTGATAGCTCAGCATTCGGGCGCTCACCTTTAATTCAATATACTCGAGCAACCTGAGTTCGATCCCCGGTGCTGGCACCAATGAAGTTTTTAACTTTACGTGCTGACTTATCACGTGCTCCGCGGTGAAGGAAAACGTCGTGAGGAAACCTGCATATTTTCGAAATAATAACAAAAAAAAAACTTCGAAGATATGTGAGTCCAGCATTCCGCAGTGGGGCCGCGTGGTGGAATATGCCCTGATACCCTCTGTATAGAGGAGGCCTTTGCCTGGCAGTGGGGCATGTATAGGTTGTTACTTTACTTTTTCTTTACTCACTGTTAGCATTAATAAATTCATTTTCTGAAATTAGATTATTATATTTAATTCATTAGCTGCTAAATTTAGCTATAAAAATGCTGAATTAGGTGCACTGTGAAGGATGTCAAGGATCAAGAAGCATTCGGATATTATAGTATTAATTAAAAAAAATTGTATTTATATGATATCGATTTTCATAATCTTTTTTCCACTGCTGAACATAGGCCTCCCCCACTGACTGCCACGAAGAAAGATCCTGAGCCACCTGCATCCATCGACTTCCCGCACATTTGCACAGGTCGTCACTCCATCTAGGGGGGGGTCGTCCAATATTGCGGCCAGTTCGAGGCTGCCACTCGAGAACCTTTCTTCCCCAGCGGTTATGGGCCTACGAGCTATATGGCCGGCCCACCGCCACCAGCTTACTAACCTTCTGAGCTATGTCGGTTACCTTAGTTCTACTGCGGATGTCTTCGTTCGAACTCTAGCACGCAGAGCAATACCGAGCATAGCCCCCTCCATAGCTGGCTGAGCGACTTTGAGCTTCCTCATACAGCCAACAGTAAATGACCACGTTTCAGTTCCGTATTTTATCACTGGCAACATAAATTGTTTGAGGACTTTAGTTTTCAAACATTGAAGTATATTAAACGAGAAGATTTGCTGAAGTTACCCAAACGCTGCCCATCCGAGTTGGATTCACCGATTGACCTCTGCGGCGAAGTTGGACTTACCTAGCCGGACTAACTGTAATAGGTATACGACAATAGGTATACGATATCAACGATCGTCTTGTCCATATTTATGTTAAGGCCTACCCGTCGAGACACACTGCTGAGGTCATTGAGCATAGTACTAAAGTCCTCCAGTGATACTGCCATGCACAGGCGTATATAGCGGGGGGGGGGGGGGGTGAGCCATTGATGTTTCTACCACGTCCTTGCCAGTCCAGAAGCTTGAAAACATCTTCCAACGCAGCGGTGAAGAGTTTCGGGGATATGACATCACTCTGTTTTACACCCTTCTGCAGTTGGATAATTTTTGTATTACTGGACTGTACTTGGATGGACATTGTAGCCTTTTTATACAAACACCTCTGCTTTGCCATTCTAACGATGACCAAGAGCCATTCTAATCTCAGAGCTCAGACTGACGTCAGCGGATATTCTCGGAATAGTGTCGGATAAGCTTTGCTCTTAAGTCATTACTCACTCTGTGTGTGGCTCCAACGACGATTTGTACAGGTATCCATAGAACCTCTCAATCTCACTCAAAACCTTTGGTCTACTGGCTCCGCTGTCATTCTTCAACTTAGTCAGTTGGCTTTGTACGATAGACGGATCTCTGGCGAAGACTTTTAAGACTAGGTTCCGCTCTATAGCTCCCTAAATACGAGCTGTATTGAAGTTTTATAAGTCTCGACGCATATATTTTGATCTGCCTATTAAGCCCCCTATAGTCTGACATGTCAGTTAAAGACTGCAGCCGCATCTCATGTCTTTTACCCAAGAGGTTCAGAGTGTGATCGGAGAGTTTTTGGGTTCTATTTGTGCGGCGGGCCTTATAAAATTTAAGACTGACGGCATGGATATTTTCCACGAGCTTAGCGTTAATATTGTCCACTGTGCTGGAATTTTCTAGACATTGGAAGAGATTATGTAGCTAGAACTGAAAACTGTCGAAGTTCCACGTGGGCATGAGAGGGTCGAAGTGTGGACTTCATCAGACAAGATCTTTCCAGCCTAATCTTAATATTCAATGTGCCTAATTGATTTGCCCTTTTTTTGTCATAATGAAGTCTATCTCGTTTTTACAGAACCATCAGGGCTAATCCAGGTCCACTTTCTGTGGAGTTTTGGAGGAAGATATGGCTTGTGATATATCCTGATACAATGCCTCCACCTCATCATCAGTGTGTGTCGACGTTGGTGCATAAACCTGTATGACCTTCAGCAAATATTCTGAGAATAAGGTACGCAACGCAACACTCGCAGACACACCCTCGACACACCATTTTAACAACCTTGTTAATGAGAAAGTTGCGGACGACAAATCCGACACCTCCTTAGGATAGTTGATCGCCCTCGGTAGTAAAACAGGTTGCCAAATTCGAGGATTTAATAAATTGAGGAGTTGAGTCCTCCCCCTGTCTTCGGACTTCAGATAATCCTATTATGTACGTAGCCTGTTCACCTCTTCTTCCAGCTCTGTAAACTTCTCGTCAGTCCTCAAATGTTCTTGCGTTATATGTTGCCAGGTCCAGTCGCAGACAATGGTAGCAGAATCCTAGCCGAAGATTCCTAGCCGAAGGTTCCATCATGAAGAGGGGGGGGGGGGTTCCATAGTTGCCAAGCGGGTTCCAGAATCCTCGCACCTTTAACGCTGAAGTTGAGTGAAGTGATCTCTTTTAATTATTATGTCCTTCGCCGTTATTCGAGGCCTTGTAAACAATATTGAGATGACATCTTCCGTTTCCGGCCGTATTTTAGT